AAGAGGAATCTGCGAACGCGCCAATTAGTCAAATGCAAATGCCTCCGGCCTGCACCGAAACCGCCTTTAATAGCCCGCGATACTGCCAGCCGTCAGTGTTGTCATATGGAATTCCGGAGCGCGGTCTATCGGTGGACGTGACGTGGTGGCGTGGCGCGTTACGCAGCGTCGGCCTACGGCGTGCTGAAGGCCGACCGACTACCGTCCACGACGAGGTCCCGGACGCGAGCCCGTCCTCGTCGTCGCTTCCTGTGCGGAAAATTCGGGTTTTACGACGGCATCCGGAAGGAAAAAACTTGGGACATATTCACCTCCCCGCACACGCAAACCCTAACCGCGATAACACGTACATCAGCCTTAATTTATATAATATATATATATATATATAATATATATATATATATAGACCTATATATCTATTCACCAGAACCTGTTAATACGGTATTAAACAAAATAAAATATATGCCTATAATTAGATAAAATTTTTTTTTTTTTTTTTTTAATCTGGAATACCTATTGAAATTAAGGAGGAAAAGTATAGAGAATGATACGAGATGTACAAATATAATATTAAGAATGAGAATGTTCCGTCGGGAGCAAATGTACTCTAAAGTATAGTTCCTATTCGAAAACCGTGTCGTCTGACATACTCGCATCCCAGCGTAGCGGCCAACCGACGCAGCTTTGCGACGCAGGAGATATACCGACTGCACGCCGCTGGCCAGCCCTGTCCAACACCCTTGTAGGTACCACCTATTATATACAGTATATATATATATATATATATATATATATATATATAGCTAGCCTCGCGGAGCGTGGAGAATTCCAACGAAATCTGACGCGTATTCGCTGAAAATGTTTAGGAAAAAAACCGTCGCTCGGAAGGTCCCGGCCGAGGAAATGGCCGCGCTGATCGTGTGTGTGGGCCCAGCTTTATGGAGGATAACTGCCTGTAAACAGCTGTACACGTGTAGCTTAGACTGTCTCCGCGCGAGCGGCACCGCACGCCTCAGAACCGCGTGCTTCGCGACGCCGCTGCCCGTCTCAATGTATACATGCCCCTAGCGTCGCTTCCCGGATAGTGTTCAGATCGGCCTTGCGTAAGAACAAGTGTTGATGGGACTGCCTCCAGGGCCGAAGCTAGCAGCACCACCAACAGAAGCGTTCTTTGGCAGCAGCGGCAGCAGGCCAGCACGAACAGGGTCTATTTAGACAGGAGGGGAGGGAGCTGTTTGCTGCTCTCTCTCTCTCTCTTGTCCCCTTTCTCTCCTCTCTCTCTCTTCTTCATCTCTCTCTCTCTCTCCTCTCTCGCTCTCGGTCTCTCCGCCTGTCGATCAAGCAGAACTGGTTCCTCCGTCGCATTCTTTCTCTCTCTCTCTCTGCGCAGCAGCTCTGTCGACAGGATTCCCGCTCGAGCGATGAAATACACTCAATCGATTCATTATTTTACTCGTGTTTATTGTTATATAAGTAGTCGCGACTCCACTCCAAGTAGCGTGCATGTGGGAGGAGGGCGGGGAGGGGAGGGGGAAGCCGAGAGGAGAGAAGAAGGAATAGCTGTTGATCCGCTGGTAGCGGTGAGAGGGAGAAGGTGGAAGGGGGGGGGGTTGATGTTGAAGAAGGGCGATTGAAGGAGGGAAGTTGGCGGGGGAAGGTGCGGTGAGAGGGAGAAGGTGGAAGGGAGGGGGTGGTGGTTGAAGAAGGGGGCCGATTAAGGAGGGAAGTTGGGCGGGGGAGTGTGCGGTGAGAAAGAGAAGGTGGAAGGGAGGGGGTGGTCCGAATGAAGTCAATCGAATTGAGGAACGGGTTGCGGAGGGAGGGGGTGTATGCATGAATAGGAGGATTAAGAGCATGGGAGGATAACGAGAGCAAGGGAGGCAAGGAGCGATAGAGGTTGTGGGGAGGAAGGGATAAGGAATGAAAGGTGGAGAACGGGGTAGTGAATGCAGGGATTAGATGTATGGAGGTGAGGTGAGGGAGGGGCGAGGAGAGGGAGGGGCGAAGAGAGGAGCGAGGTGAGGGAGGGGCGAGGAGAGAGAGAGGGGCGAGGAGAAGGAGGGGCAAGGAGAGGGAGGGGCGAGGAGAGAGAGGAGCGAGGAGAGGGAGGGATGAGAGTAAAGGGGTGAGGGAAAGGGGGCAAAGATAGGGAAGGGCGAGGAGTGGAGGGGCGAGGAGAGGGAGCGGCGAAGGAGAGGTATAGGGTGAGAAGAGAGAGAAGGTTGAGATGCATAGACAGTGGAAAGGAAGGAGTGATGAGTGACAGGTGAGGCGAGGAAAGAATAGTGAGGTAAGGAAGGAAAAAAGAGAGGGGTGGGGAAGGAAAAAAGAGAGGGGTGAGGAAAGGGAGGGATCAGGGCCGAGTGAAATCGGAATGGGGTGTGTGGTGTGAAGAGAGGAGGTGATGAGGGGGCGGTGAGGGAGGCAGAGGTTCGGTGCGGCTCGCTTGCCTTTGCTACGATGTAATGATGGTGTTTTGTGGAAGCTATTCACTAGCTTGTGTGAATTATGCTTAATGCTTGGGTGGGTGATTGCTGTGCTAAAAGCTGGTTTTGTTGTGCTAAGTCAGGCCTGCTGCAATGGTGGCCCACACACCCCACAACACACACACACACACCACGGCACACACCCACACAAGTCACACGCACAGCACAACTCACACACACAAGACGCACACACACCACACACACACACACACACACACGCACCACACAACACACAGAACACACACACAGCACACAAGCACACCGCACAAGGCACATCACAGGCTTCACGGCACAGCGCACGCCACACACACAACACAACACCGCACAGACACACACCACACACACAAATCACACACACAAAAACACACCAGCCACCACATTACAAAAACACGCGAACTATCAAAACACAGGGGAAGGGACGCAGCGCAACACGCACACACCACCACACACACCACACACAACACACACACACACCGCAGCAGGCACCACGACACACACACACACAACACCGCACCAGACAGACAGCAGCGCCACAATGAAGCGTGCACATACCCACCATGCACGCACACGCACACACACACATTCGCACGCACCTACGACACGCACGCACGAACACACACACGATGCACACCAGCTAATAACGGCCACACAACACACACATACACACACACACACACACCAACTCGCACACACACAACATACGCACACGACACACACACGGGCGCAACAGGACACACACACACACCACACACACAGCACACACACACACAACACACACCACACACACACAACATTCTCCCGACACGCACAGGCACAAGCACGCACATGATCCACGGACACACGCGAAACGCGCGCCGCGCGCAGCGACACACACACACACACACACACACGCACGGAGCACGCATTGCAGGCACAGGCACACACCATGCAACACACAACCACAACCCACACCACACCCACCACGCCGCACACGCACACATCACGCACGCACGCACGAACACACAACACAACGGACACAGCACACACAGCACGACCATCCCATGCTCCACCACGCACGCGCACAAACCCACAACACAACACACGCACGCACAGCAGGCACGCCACGCACGTACGCACAAAGCAAGCACGCACGCACGCACGCACACACACACAGCGATAACACGCACAACTACCAACGCGCGCACCACCACACACACATAACACACACAGACACACACACACACACACACACACACAACACACCAGCGCCACCGCGCGCGCGCGCACTCCCCCAAGGTGCACATACGCTCACACACATGCGCCACGATACACGCGGAACACACCGGACGCACCCTCCAACATGCACAAAGCGCAACATATACACACAACCCACAATGCATGCACGGACTAACGTATGCAGACACAAGCACGATTCTTATACAAATACAGCATTCGATCGCACGCACGCCACGCATGCAATATGTCATGCATATAACATTATATATATATATATATCAAGAGACATAAAGAGATGTTATTCAATGTACTACTATATGTACTCTGATAATATATATATATATATATATAATATTATAGTATATATATACAAAAGCTAATAAATAATAAATAGGTATTTATTAGCCCTCGATATATAGCATACATGCATGCACGTATGCATATGCAGCGTATAGGTAAATGCGGTTGGCATTTTGCCGTTTCATTTCAACGGTTATATAGACATGACCTTCAAAAACAGATACAACGATCGAGTTCCGCGTGTATTTATGCAGGAGAACGACACAGCACAACAGCGTGATAAATTTCCTAATAAATTCACGAGAATTTTAACATTCACACTTGCAAACTTCACTGTGATAACAAACACATATGACAGAATTACAATACACCGGTGCCGGAAACGCCAAAAGCAAATACACCCCACCTTCCACCCCACCACAACCACCGTCACGTTCGTACGCACACAGCGATGGTTTGATTCAGTGAAAGGCTACGCGCTGCGTATGCGTAATATAGTAACGTAATCTTGCGAATCTAAAAATGCAGCAGATTGCGTGTTTTTGCACATTCACTCGCGAGCATGGCCGCCATCTACGGTCCTTGCGACGTAGCTGTTTGCTCTAACCAGGCTGTCCTAATAGGATGCATGTCAGATAGAGGGTTAGAGATCCTTCAAAGCACACCTGCTTCTACATTTCGGCTCATTACGACCAAGGTTACACTTACTATGCCTCCATTTGCCTTTACAAGAGCGGTGTCCCACGGTCAACCGAACGAGCATTGACTTTACAATGGCCTCATAAAGTTGCCTACCATGAACGTACGTAGCGAGCGCATGATTATCCGAATTGGTTATGACTACACTCGTGCAACATGAAACAAATCAGTGGTTATATTTACGATGTACCATAAATGTTATATTTTACAGTAGCGTCTTATGTGGACTGAACGCTTATTTAAGCTATACCAGTGAATAATCACATTTTAGTTCCATTCTACAAATTAAGAACAACGATATTTACAGTATTTGCAGTTCATAGGTTAGATTACAATAAGGTTTTCTTCGTTAGAAATGCTAAAGATGCTAAACACAACTAGATAGCTCTCGATGAAATGAAATGCATGTACTAAATAGTAAATACGCTTGTATGTTTCTTAACACAAGAACACACGAAATCGAATGGTATCTATTCCTTGGTTTCAAGATTTGCTTTGAAAAGGTTTACTAGAAATTTAGCTTTATTAGCTGAGTGAAGAAGCTAGCTAGCTCCCTTGAATCATGTTCCATAACAGTAGCATTTACACAACACATCTAAACCTATGAGTTTTATACGTGGTGCACGTTTATTTTTTAATCAAAATTCTGTCTATTCGGAGATTAATATAAACCTTATTTTATTTTATTAATTTAATATTAAATTCATTCCCGTAATCAGACTTGTTGACTGCGATATGTCAGCACATCAATAATCGAATTTAGTCCTAATTAATTTGGCAATAAAAATCTCAATTTCGATTAACAATTCACACTCCCGGAAAGTCGCACCCACACAAACCTAGAAAGTCACACAATCCCAGAAGGTCACACACTCCCGGAAAGTCGCACCCACACAAACCTAGAAAGTCACAAACATTCTGCAGTTACTAGTAGCAATCTCTCCATGTAGCTGATGTTTACTCTGTGCCTCTCCTCACACAGTTTACTCACCACAGACCCATCTGACCCGATTGAAGTAAACCATGACTAACATGTACATTGTTGCTTGGTCGGTCAAACTACATCAGTTTATACCTGTGCTCCCCGCAGACACGCCAAACTGTCGACACCGCGACGCTCCGGTGCTAAGCATAGTATTTTAGAAGGTGCCATCGCGACAATCATTAAGTAGAGCTGCCTGTAAATCATAGCAAGCAGACACGTAAGTAAGATGCAGCCAGCAAGGCTCATAGGGTCTATGTCCCCCTGGGTACTGCCGGAACGTACCCTGGGTACGGTCCGGTATACCGGTACCTGGTAACTATCTGATATGGTTAGGGTTAGGGTTAGGGTTAGGGAGTAGGCGTAGGTGACTCCCTAGACTCGTTAGTGGAGTAGGCGAGATACGGTCCGGCATATTAGATAGTACCAGGGTACGTTCCGGTAGTACCCTGGGGGACATAGACCCTCTCAGCGCCAGCAAGCGTCTCCTGTCTCCACTCAGAAGAAGCTCTCGACCCTTCACACAACTCCCCCTTCCACGCCTGTGCCTGATCGGATTGAGGCCCCTGCACCTTCTGTCATGACCCAGCCAAGCTAGACCTATCTCAGTGGAGCAGTGATCGAACTGCTTGACCGCTCGAATAATCGAAATATGCTCCGAACAAAAAATTTTTGTCGCTAACCATTATTTTCCGCAACAAATTCCTTTAACAGAGCGAAAGCCACTATCTGTTAAAAATTTAAAATATTGTTATATATAATACGGAAGACTGAAAATATTTTCGTTCATATAATGTTGCCGCAAACCCCCAGATTAAATACAAATTAGTTAAATTATTGACATTATGCGGGCATCCCAAATCCATAAATTATTTGCGAGTGCGTTTTCGTCCAGGAAAAAGCCGCTGGTAATTTATTGCCTTAATTTTCATGATTGCCCTCAAATTGGAAAATAATTCAGTCATGGGCGGAGACTCCATACCGTCATTCTACGATTGCAGCGGGTGGAAACATCGAATTAGAGATAATAAGCAGTGCTATTAGAAATAATGTATTACTTCCTTTGTGTAACATTGTGAGCTGGCTTACCATGACGTTCCTCAGCAGTTGCTTGAGCCGTTCCAGACCCGGCAGCATGTTAGAAGTTAGTATCCGATCTCTTTCTTTCTTTCTTTAATCTCTTTCCTTCTCGCTCTCCCTCTCTCCTATTCCCTCTATCTTTCTCTCTTCCCCTGCTCTCTTTCTTTCTCTCGCCCTCGCGTTGTCTCTTCCCCTTCTCTGTCTTGCTCTCCCTCCTCTCTCTCTCTCTCGCTCTCTTGCACTTTTTCTTTCACACTCCCTCTATCTCTCTCTCGGTCTGTGCACTAGATCTTGCTCGGGGGAGCTGAGCTATCCGTCTTTAGCCGTGGCGTTGAGTTGACGCAGCGGCGTAAACACGCTTCCGCGTTAGAGAGCACCGATCATCGTCTGCATCCCAATATCGTCTGCTCTCTCTCTCTGCTGCCGTCACCGCTCGCTGCCGTCACCGCCGACGACTGTCGCACGTGCGCCGGTGACACCGTGCGTGACACCGCGCGCGACACGGCGGGACACTGGGGGGCGCGCGCGTCTCTGTCACACGTGCTGTCCAGAAGGCGGTGGTCGCAGCTGTCCTTCTATCTCTTGCTCTCGTCTCTATCGTCTCGCTCTCGTCTCTATCTCTTGCTCTATCTCGCTCTGTCACTCTCTCTCTCTCTCTCTCATCTCTCATCTCTCTCTCTCTCGTCCTCTCTCCCATCCACCACAACACACCCCCTTCTCCATCCCCCTCCTCCCCTACACACCCCTCCTCCTCTCCATCCTATGCTCCCCTCATCTCTCCTCTCTTCTCTCTCCCTCCTCTCTCCTAAAATTCTCATTGCTCTACAACCTTCCGCTCTGTCACTGCTCTCTCTCTCTCCTCTCTCTCTCTCTCTCTCTCCCTCTCTCTCTCTTTCTTCTCTCTCTTTCTCTCTTTCAGTCTGGTTGCTCTCTCTCACACTCTCATCGTCTCTCTCCTCTCTCTGTGCTCTCTCTCTCTCTCTCTCTCTCTCTCTCTCTCTCTCTCCTCCTCTCTTCGTCTCTCTCCGTCTCTCTCTTTCTTCTCTCTCGCTCTTTCTCTGCTCTCTCTCTTCTTCTCTCGATCTCGTCCTCTCCTCTCCCCTCGCTGCTCCCCTCTTCTCTTCCTCGTGCTTCTCGATCTCTCCCTCCTCCCTCTGCTCTCTCTCTCCTCATCCCTCCTCGTTTCCTCGTCTCTTTCCGGTTCTCTCTCTCGAACCTCTCACAGTCTTCTCTCCCCTCACTCTCTCTCTGTCTCTTCTCTCTCTCTTCGATCGCCCCCCCCTCTCACCTCTCTCTTGGCGATACAAATGGGAAGTGAGGCGTTGGCTGGAGGCCGGGCAGCTCTCCCAGCGGACGCGTGTGCAAGGAGCTGCTATGTGCAAGAGTGTCGAAGCTCATGCGCTGTCAAGTGCCGGGTCCGTCACGTCCTCACTACTACTACTACTTAGCTGGCAAGCGCATCGCGCAGGCCATGCTGCTAGGTGCCGCACGCACGCGTGTGCGTATTTGTTCGGGGAAGCATATTTCGATTATTCGAGCGGTCAAGGCAGTTCGATTCAACTGCTCACTGAGGAAAAAAATAGGGTCTAGCTTGGCTGGTCAATGACAGAAGGTGCAGGGGCCTGCTCATCCGATCAGGCAACAGGCGTGGAGGGGGAGTTTGTGTGAAGGGTGCGAGAGGCTTCTTTGTTCTTCTGAGTGAATGGCCAGGAGACGCTTGCTCGCGCTGAGAAGGGTCTATGTTCCCCAGGGTACTGCCGGAACGCTACACTGGTACTATCTAATAATGCCGGACGCTTATCTTCGCCTACTCCAAGGCTGAACGAGTCCTAGGGAGTCGCCTATGGGCGCTACTGCCCTAACTCTAAGCCTAACCTAACCTAAACGGCATATCAGATACGTTACCAGGGTACGTTCCGATATACGGACCGTACGCGCTAGGGTACGTTCCAGCAGTACCTGGGGACATAGACGCCTATGACGCCTATGAGCTGCTGGCTGCATCTATCCTCCACGTGTCTGCTTGCTATGATTTAACAGTGGCGAGTCTACCCATATGATTGTCAGATGGACCTTCTAAAAATAGCTACTTATGCTAGCACGTGAGCTGTCTGCGGGTGTCCGACAGTTTGGCAAGGGTGCTGCCCGTTGGAGCACACGTATAAAACGGATGTAGTTTGACCGACCATAGGCAACATAGTAATGTTGGTCATGGTTTTGCTTCACCATCGGGTCAGATGGGCTTCTGTGGTGAGTAAACTGTGTGAGGAGAGGACAGAGTAAACATCAGCTAAATGGAGAGATTTGGCCACTAGTAACGCGGGATGTTTGTGACTTCTGGGTTGGTTGGTGACATTTCTGGGATTGTGTGAACCTTGCTGGGATTGTGTGAGCTTTCATAGGTTTTGTGTGTGGGCGATCTTTCGCGGAGTGTGAATTGTTAATCGAAATTGAGATTTTTTTAGTTGGCCAGACTAATTAGGACTAAATTCGATTATTTGATGTGCTTGACATATCCAGTCATGCAAGTCTGATTACCGGGAATGAATTTAATATTAGAATTAATAATAATAAAATAAGTTTTTACATTAATCTCCCGAATAGAAGATTTTGATTAAAAAATAAACATGCACAGCGTATAAAAGCTCATAGGTTTTAGATGTGTTTGTGTAATGCTACTGGTTAAGTGGAACATGATTCAAGGGAGCGTAGCTTCTTCAGCTCGGCAGATAAAGCTAAAAATTTCCTAGTATAACCTTTTCAAAGGCACATCTTGAAACGCGCAAGGAATAGATAAACCATTCGATTTCGTAGTGTTTCTTGTGTTAAGAAACATTACAAGCGATTTCACTATTGTAGTACATGCCATTTGCATTTCAATACGAGAGCTATCTAGTTGTGTTTAGGCATCTTTAGCATTTCTAACGGGATAAAACGCTTATTGTAATCTAAAACCTTATGAACTGCAAATCTGTAATATATTCGTTGTTCTTTAATTTTTTAGGAATGAAACTAAAGTGATTATCTTATTCGATGGTATATAGCTTAAATGAAAAGCGTCATCCACATAAAGAGCGCTACTTGTGTAAAAAAAATATAATTATGGTACATCGTAAATAAACCAGCTGATTTGTTATCATAGTTGCAAGCGAAGTGTAGTCATGAACCCAATTCGGCGATTAATCATTGGCGCATCGCTACGCGGAGGGTAGTTCATGGTAGGCAACTTTAAATGAGGCCATTGTAAAAGTCAATGCTCGTTCGGGTTGAGCCGTGGACACGCGCTCTTGTAAAGGCAACATGGACGGCATAGTAAGTGTAAGCGCTTTGGTCGTAATGAGCCGACCGAAACTGTAGAAGCGGTGTGCTTTGAAGGATCTCTAAAGCTCCTCTAATGCTGACATGCTCCTATTAGGACACCTGTTGGAGCAAACAGCTACGGGGTCGAAAGGACGTAGATGGCGGCCATGCTCGCGAGTCGAATGTGGCATAAAAGCACGCATCGCTGCTGGGCATTTTAGATTCGCGAAGATTACGTACTAGATTAGCATACCAGCGCGTAGCCTTGCCTTCACGAAAATGAATCAAACATCGCTTGTGTGCCGTGCGCGAACGGTGCCGGTGGTTGTGGTGGGGTGGAAGGGGAGGGGGTGTGTATTTGGCTTTTGGCGTTTCCGGGCCACCCGCGCGCAGGCGCGGTGTATTGTAATTCGTCATATGTGTTGTTATGCACAGTGAAGTTTGCAATGTCGAATGGTTAAAATTCTCAGTGAATTTATTAGGAATTTATCACGTGTTGTGCTGCTGTGGTCGTTCTCGCTGGCAATAAATACACAGCGGAAATACGAGTGCGTTGTATT